CTTTACTACATCTAAAGCTGAAATGGTTAAGGATTGTGTCGACCATAATGTGTGTTGAATCATTCTCCATATTGTTGATCCTTCCATTATCAGACAGCCTTTCAGCTCCACACCTACACTTCCCTGTTCTCTCGTCTTCCCATTTGCACTATTGATTCTCCATTTGTTTCTGCCTGCTGTCGGCCCTGTGCCCTGAAACAAAATGATTCATGCCCCTGTCTCATCTTTGTCAATAATTTTTGATTTAATCACTACTTTAACAAATATTGACTAGTTCAATATGAGGCCATCATGTCCAGATTATTAACAAATAATCTGTGATATTGAAGATTACCCAATCTGTGCCACTTGGTGCCAATGTATGCATAATGCTAAACTGAGATGATCTTCTACTCCACTGTGTTTAGGTAGCTCTGTGTTGGCTTTGAATAACCCAAGGGCTCTGAAAGGCTGCTCCTCATTAAGATGAAAAGTATCCACCTCCTGGCACTTCTTAAGGGGATGTACCAATCAACCATCCACCCACTCCACCCCTATGTGCTATATTAAAGAAGGGATTCCGTTATCCCCTATGTTGTTCACAGAGGGGGGGTTTGGAGGGGGGAGGAATTGCTTTGAGGTTAATAAGTTATAGCTGATGTTGTTGGACCAAGAAGTATTAGCAGCGGGTGGGCACTAAGCTAACCTTACAGGCTGAAAGTTTCAGTCTGTTCAGCACCCACGCTCTCCCAATCCGTCCATTTCTCATTCCTGTGCTCGGATAAAATGTTTTACCGTAACAACAAAATCTAAATATATAGTGTAATAGCAGGTTAAACCTATAACTTAATGTATAAATGAGTTACATACCGCAACCTAAATAACCATTTAAAGCTTAAAGCGGGTATTAGTTCAAACTTCAGCCCAATTGTTCCAGTTGTCTGATTTTACCAACTGATATCACACAAAGTGAATAAAATAAGATTGAGTTCATATTTTTGAATGTTTTAAGGTCTCCTTTATCAAAAATAATATTTCTTCTTCTTCTCACAGCTGGCTCTCGGCATGTTTCCATATCCTCAAGTAAGTGATCAGATAAATGATAAATGTCTAAATACTTGACAGTGTTAATGTCAGTGATTCAGTTCTGCATGGTCTTTATAAAATGTTATAAAATGTACTTATAAAATAAGTAGTCATTGAAAATATAATAATAATTTTGTTTTCCATTTCTGACACTTTGAAAAATAATATACTCAAATATATTTTCATATGCTGATATCAAATTGATTTTTAAAAACGCGGTATCAATCTATTTTACTTTCAAAATCTCGTGAAATTTCATCGTTCTGTTACAAACTCTCGTGATATTTGGCATATTCTTGTGAAATTTTGTGAGTAAAATAGATCGATACCGCGTCAATATATCAA